ATCTAGGAGGCACAGTTTGTATGGATAGTTTTTATTTTTTATAATAATAAGCTGGAATGAAAACAAGCAAAAAATTAAATAAAAGTAACGACTTTCTATTTCTTGCCTCTTTTAAAAATGTAAGAAGTAAAAGTAAAAAGTATGCTGAAAAATAATTACTCAAGTAAAGTACAGAAACACAAAAATTCTACTTAAGTGCAGTAACAAAGTATTTGTACTTAGTTACTTTACAACTCTGCTTACTGGAGAGGAAAAGGAAACATCAGTGGTCGTGCCACAACTGCTGCCTCTGGATTACCAACATCCAACACTAAGTAAGACCCACCAGTCCTACAGTATATACATGTCCGGTTTTAGAAAATATATTCATCACTCATCCTCTCTTGCAGACATAGTTTCATTTCCAGTTCCTGGGTTCCAGTCCTGCTAATAATTGCTCCTCCAAAAATAAATTTGATAAAGCTTTCCCTGTGTCCGTGACTGTTGCTGCCTGTGAGTCTTGGCGTAAACATGACAGAACCCTTTGGGCAAACTGACTCAGCAGCGTAGTTGCAGACTGCCACATTCGAACAGGAAATCCTGCAGTCACGACTCTGCTGTTCAGGACGTTTAACAACAACAAGCTTTAATCCTGCGAAATGAACCAACCAAGAATGTTCAAGATTCGAGTTCCAGACTTCTCAGTACAGCTGTAGCGGCCTCTCCTGCTGCCCCAGTCATCACGTCCACCCTTCGGGAAGCGACCTCACCCACCCTGGAACTATTTACTGGGGATCTGGGTACTCGGATAGCTTTGATCTGTTTTGGAAATGAAAACATCTGTTCAGGTCTTATGGACTGACTCTGAATCAATCTGGAGCTCAACTTCTGGCTTCCAACATGAAGTATTATCTGAACCAACCAGACAGCAGGAGAGTGATCAGCTGACGTCTGAGTCTGAAGGACAACAGGAGCAAACTGAGACATTGAAACCAGAACCACAGAGAGAGAGAGGAGTTACTTCAAGCTGCAGAACCGGAAGAACATCTGGATTTATCGGCTTCACAAACAGAGGATCTGGAGAAGGAGATTTCACAGACTGCAACAGGAGAACGACAAGACCCCACTTTCTCTCCGCCAGAGGACCCCAAACCTTCTTCCTCTGAGACCCCAACAGGACAGCAAGTGAAATGTCCCTCACGGATTTCACTGACAACATGGAAGAATTTGACAAGATTTGGATCCATCTCACAACATGCCCAAATCCACATAACCTTCATCATCTTCCAGCCACTGGCACTAAACCAGCCTCTACAAACATTTTCAGAGCCCCACCACCACCTCTGACTCTTCCACACATCAAAACAGACTCAGTCTGTTTGTGTTCAAGATGATCCGAAAACTTTTGTAAGATAATTAAGTTTTGGGGAAGCAGGTTACTCCGAGCTCTTATTTTGAAGGTCAACAGCTAGCCGTTACCGGAAGTCTTCTAGTACCATTACTGCTAACTTTGTAGCTAAAGTTGGCCCAGAGTTTTTGTTGAGATGTAAATACAAAACAGAAAAACTTCCTGTTTTATCTAACTTTCACAGACAACTACTTTAATGCTGCACGTTGGTTTATAAACACAATGTTTTCCCTCTGTTATAACTTTAACATATAACTTTGTAATATGGAATAACCAAGATATTTGTTTCACACTGAAGTCATTATTTTTAAAGAAATGGGTGGATTATGATATTTTATTTGTAAAACAACTGTTTAATAAGTATGGTCAGAAGTTTGGGTTTAATGAATTTCTTTCTGATTTGAACTTCTCTCTACCCCCTACAGAAGTCCCTGTTGTTTTTGATGCCATCCCAGCAGTTTTTAAATTCCTCATATCCACTGCTGATAGATCTCATGTCCAATATCCTCGATTTTCAGAACTATTTATTGGGAACTCAGATGTCTTCCTTAGTATTAAAACAAAAAAATAAACATTTAGAAAAATAATCAAAAGAATACTATTAGTAAATCTGCTTTATGTTTATATTTTATTGGAATAATTTGTATTTTGATGTAGATTGGGAAAAGACGTGGTTATTGCCTAGAATTTTTTTGGTCTCAAATAAGGTCCGGGAAGTGTCTTAAAATATTTCACAGACGTTACTCAGCTCTGGCTAAATATATTCCAAATATTGATCCTTTTTGTTCATTTTGTCACCTTGAAGATTAAACATTAACCCATCTTTTCTGGGACTGCACTATTAGTAAAACCTTTTGGTGTGACCAATGTCTGGGATGAAATATGTCATGAACTTTCTCATTCTATTGCCTAAATTCCACATTCATGCCAGCAAAATTTCAAAACAAAAGCCCAATCATAGGGCCAATCTGAGCTGTGTTTTTGGACTCACTGACACTGCACTAACTTTAAAGCTATAAAACGTAAATCCATGTGTGAAGAATTTAAGTTGTAACCTTTTATTTTGTCTTCTGATATATTTTTTACTTCCTACTCTTTGTCCTCGAGTACATTTTTGTTACGGTTGTATACTGTTAGTTTGTAAATGATTTATTTAAAAAAGGATGAGGGAAAGAGTAAGAGAGATGTGGAAAGAGTGGAGTTTAAAAGGGATATTGGGAACAGAAGGGAATAAAGAGGAAATGTGCAAAATAAGGAGAGCATTATTTTCATTTTTACATAAAACAAAACTAAAATATAGAATTTAGGTGGCGTCATGAGGTTACACACTCATGCACAGTAGGTGGCGGTATGCACCTAAAAGTTTGAGATCTGCCATTGAATCAAAAGAAGAAGAAGGAGAACTTTGTAGCTACGAGCTAACGGTGTTTCACATGGCCTGTTGGTCAGATTAGTTTAATTCAGAGCTGTGTTGAGCTGTAACAGCTCGGTAAATGTTGATGAGATGTGGAGACAGAAGGTAATCTGAGGTTCTTCTTCCATGAAGCGGCTCTGTTGTCCTCCATCCATATTTTCAGTTCCAGGCTGAGTCATTTCTACCT